AGTGGTTAGGGTGCTGGACTTGAAATCCGGTGGCCCGGGTTCAAGTCCTCCACCCTGCCACTCACTGGATTTGTTCTCGGTTGCCCCTAGTTCAACTCCTCGGCTGCGCTCTGTAAATAGCCCACTGGTCGCCTCCTGCCAGTGGGAATTTTTAAGCAATTAGTTAAAACTTCTTCTTAATACAGCCCACAATGGAAACTACTGGGTTACCAGTAATTTTGTTAGCTATTAAAGTTTATTTGTTTATTTGAAGTTTATTTATTTATTTATTTTATGTAACAATCAGATGCCTAATCTTGACTTGGTTGGCCACGTTTTTCCGCGCTAGAAGCAGTTAGCTTGTAATTTTCTTTGAGTTCTCTTTGGCTCTTGAATGTGTTTACTTTTCCTCTGATTGGCTGTTGGGATCATTTTGGTTTTGGTGCTAAGAAACTAAATCGAACGCCACAATTGAGTTTTTGTTTTCATGCACGCGGGAGGTTGCTAAGCACGAAAGGAGCGTAAGGCCTTGAGCTACTCTAACTTTAAAATGCAGTAAATTGTAATTGTTTTCAATCTCTGATTCCTTCAGCTCTCCAGAGTGGGAAAAGAACACTGTTTAGATATCATTAGAAGATGCGAGCCAACGGATGAAGGAAGAAGGTCAAAATGTTTAGGAATAGATGGTAAGTGGTAGAGATTTCTCATTTCTGTAATTCTACTACAATTCTGTTCCACTAATGTTCATGTAAAGCGTCAACATTTTAAGCTCACAAGACGTCCTTCGCAATTTCAAGCCAAGGAGGAACAAAGGTGATGATGAATAGAGTAGATTTACACCGATTACAAATGACTAACGTCTTGTTTTGACAAATTTGTCGTTGACGTTTAGCATTTTTCATTTATTCTTGCAGGATTCACACAGTATTTATTAGAAGATTGTCATATTTTTGACACCGATCGTGCTGTAATCTGTCAAGACATGACCCATCCACTCTCTCATTACTTTATTGCATCTTCTCATAACACGTAAGTTGAAATTATTTTCAGTTGTCAACCATCTTTAGTAAACAACTGAAGAATACTTGGTTTGTCATCAAGTTCTAATGGACGCATGGAACACTTTCAGTCAAAAGTTATCTGGGGCTATATTGGTTTTACTTCACAACACATCATGATTGGTTTAGAAAAGTGATGTCACTATCCCAACCAATCAGATGCGAAACGGAAACCAACTGCGTCATGGTCACAAGCATTTTCCTGCGCTTGAATTGTTTAGTTCTCTCGACGCCATGTTATTTTGGCCTACGTGGACAGCTGCATGACTTGCCGATTAGAACGACGGACTGTTTGTTTGTCTCTTTGTCTCTTTGTAACTAAACTATGACCATCTGTTTGACCAGCGGTTTGACTAATTTTTCATTTGATTTCCTATTTATAAAACCTTTTCTTATCTCTCGCTTTGGTTCGTAGGTATTTGCAAGAAAATCAACTCAGTGGACCGTCCAGTGTAGAAGCTTATATTGACGCATTAAAAAAGGGCTGTAAATGTGTAGAATGTAAGTTTTGGACTCAAAGTTTCCTTCAGGTTTGTCAGCTGAAATTGTTCAAATTGTGGTTACCGCTCTTGACTCCAGGGCAAGAGGTTTCGATTCGAGTCCTCGTTGGGTAATTTAATAAAATAGAGGGCAAAATTACTGAATGATGATTGATCAATAAAAAGGGTATTTTTTCTTAATTTTGCTTTAGAAGAGGGCAAAATTACTAGCTCATGATTGGTATTCAGGTTGCCTAGCAACAGCTTATGCTATCGAAAAGTTGTTGCTGAAGATTTTCTGTAACAATGGCGTCTCGTTTCGAGATAGTTGACGAGGAATATATCGAAGAATTAAAAGACAAGAGTGAAAACGAAAACACGAGGAAAAGCACGGAGTACTGGAAGAACGTTTTTAAAAAGTGGGCGAATGAAAGAAACTTCCAAGCAAATTTAGAAGAGTACGAGAGCGATGTCCTCGACCGAGCACTGGCGCAGTTTTATGCCGAGTTACGTAAAGAAAACGGGGATGAATATGAGCCCGACTGCCTGAAAGTAATGCAGACATCACCGGAGAGATATCTAAAATCAAAAGCCTATCCAAAGTCGTGGTATCTTAAAAAAATGTGCAAAAATAAAATTTCATTCAGCTCATTCGTGCATTTGTGGCCATTGATTCTCAGTCAACTTTAAATGGCTTCCTATCACTGATTACTGAAGAGCGCATCCAGAAATTCAGTAATTTTCCCCTCAATTTCATTAACAAGTAATCGCAATGGGTGATATTAATCCTTAGTTTTACTCGGCCCCATGCGATTACGTATACGAATTGCATTGTGGCCTTGGTTGAGACACTTTACTCTCACACTGTCCCTCCTCACCCGGGTGTGCAGACGAGTATCGACGATTTGTCAAGAAAACCGGACAAGATTTAGGGGAGTTACTTTTGATGGATTAGCACCTTTTTGGGGGGGGTGGGGGTGGTAGATAAGGGTTAAGTTCTGGCATGATGGGCCTTGTGGCTTGTAAGCAGAGTTCACCTTATCTGCATTCAATTTGGCTTGAATGCCCCTAAACCTAACAGCTTATTTTATTTTTTTCGTATTTGTGTGAATTTTGTTTATTGCATTTCAGTGGACTGTTGGGATGGGAGCGGTGATGATCCGGTCATTTAGCATGGCCACACACTTACGTCAAAAATTCTCTTCCGTGATGTCTTAGAAGCCATAAACGAAAACGCATTCACAAGATCTCCGTAAGTAAAGATAAATAAAAATAATAGTGACTAATTAGATTTTAAAGAAGCTCATACACTAAGTGACTCTTTGTCTTCGAAGTTGAATTTGAGCTACTGTTTATTTTAGAGATTAGAGAAGTGAAGAACCTCGTTAAAAAACTTCGAAATAGGAACGAGAATCAATAAGCAACAGTTACAACTCATTTTACGCCAGCCTCTCGGAAAGGAAGTGCAGGGTACGGCAAAAAAGAAAATTCTTAATTTTACCGTATGGAAGATCCAAATGATGAAAGGAACTATAATATTTACAGTACCCCTCGTCTCTAACAATTTCCCTTTACTTTCAATAGCCTCTGAGGTTCTTTTTCCTTTCAAAATGATTTAATGTTGTGCAAAAACTTAAACTCTTTGTTTTTGCCTTCCAGGTATCCACTTGTATTATCGATAGAAAATCATTGTAGTGTGAAACAACAACAAATTATGGCAAAGTATTTGCAAGAGATTTTACAAGGTACGATGTTAAGAAATGTTCTTCTCTCCAAATTATCTTGTTCCCAAGGTTTGATTGGTAGGATTTTGAAATTTTATCTCAGCTCTGCTGTCTGATTGGTTATTTTTTTGGGCTGGTTTTTAGCCGGTTTCGCTCGATGCACTGTAATTGATGTGATGTCATAAAAGTGATAAGGAACTCTTTTTTTTCGCAGATAAACTTTATAGAATTCAACCAGGAGAAAATGAATCTTACTTACCATCTCCCGAGGCACTTAGAGAAAAAATCCTTATCAAGGTAACTGTTCTAATCCAACACATTTCTCAGTGGGCTGTTCTTTTACACGAGTCACTCTTGTTACCTCTTGCACTCTGATTCTAAACTTGTACACCCTGTAATGTTTAAGATACAAGACCCCCGAAACTGTACCTTGTTGATTCCGATTAAGGGAGTGCTAGAGAACCCGGGCTAATGTTCAGTATGTTCTAGTTTCAAATTTTTCTCACATGGAGAAATCAAATTAAGCTATTTCAGTCTTAGTTTCCAGTGTCTTTTTCTCTGGAATTTTAGAACAAGAAGCTTCCGGCAGATGTGATGACCGACTCTGGTGAGGTCAGTGACGAAGGCGAAGACCAAGATGAAAATGTTGAAATCAATGGTGAATGTAAGTTGGACAGACAAAATAGCAAAACAGGAAGCATAAAAAGACAGATAGTCAAGGTGGGTGCATGTATCAAACGGAATTTTTTTTTAACCATAATGTAACATTTGCATTGAAACCGTTTTACGGTTGAGTTGCGCGAAAACCAAAGTGGAACTAACCAGAACCCCAAATCAAAACGCAGATGGATGTCGCCAGGAGCTTATGAAAGCTCAAACTTTTAAACACGTGTGAATGGCCACAAGCGCGGGAAAACTCTTGTGAATGGCTAAAAGCGCGCGTAAAGGTGCGTTTGGTATTAAGTGTCTAGTGTTGCTTTTGATTGGTTGAAAAGCTGGTGCTTTAAAACTTGACCCATCGTAGAACGAATAGCCCATTTCCGAATTACCCTTGGCCTCATTTTCAAAACGAGTCCTGGTGCTCATCCTTTCATATAATTATAAGTTTTCATTCACATGAAAATTAAACTCATTTTCACAAGAATGGTTGAGCACCAGGCCCCGTTTTGAAAAAGAGGCCAAAAGTGATTCGGAAATTGCCTATTGAAAGATTGGTAGGGGAGACTAGAACCCATTCCTTCCAGCACTCCACCATGGATTGTTTTCACATATTGCAATTGAAACGGAGCATGGGAGTTTGTGGGCACCAAATTCACTTTCGATTTTGTACACTGTAGCATTCGTGGTACTCAAATAGTTAATTACAACAGCAGTGGTTGAGTGGTGTTGATGGTAAATAAATTTTTATTTGTCTTTCTGCAGGATCCCAATCAAAAAACAAAGAGGACGACAAAGCTGGCCCGAGAGTTATCTGACTTGGTTACCTGCTGCAAATCTGTCGCTTTCCAAGACTTTCAGTATTCCTCTGAAAATCGTAAGTAGATTTATGCGAAAGGCGAAACGAGTGAGGTGATTTGCCAATATCAGTACAGTCGAACCTCGATTGTACGGATTTCTCGATTATCCGGACTTTTTCGCTGGTCCCAATTTTGTCTTGAATACTTATTGGTCATGATCACGTTCCGTAGCCATATTCTTTTCAAAACTACAGCCTTGAAAAGTGAAGCAAAGGCGAGTTTGTTTCACTTTCAAAAAGCAAAACCAGCGCTCGCACGCGTTGTAACTAATAAAGAACTTTCGAATGTGGTCTGATTGGCCTAGAGTTGCATCAGTGCTTAGTGAGATTTCACGCTCTATTGGCTCGACCATATTTTTTTGAAAACGATTTGTAAATGTTTTGTTTCACGATTAAATGTTGCTTTCTTAATTTAATCAGTTTTTGTTCCTCGTTAATATTCATATCCTCGATTATCCGGACCCTCGATTTTCCGGACTATTTCGTCTAGTCCCAATGAGTCCGGATAATCGAGATTCAACTGTAAAAAAGATTACTCACTTAAACATGCTGCGCTTTTGTTTTTCCGTAGAAAAGTTCTGGGAGATGTGCTCTTTTAGTGAAAATGTAGCCAGACGGTTAGCGCAGACATTTCCAGAAGAGTTTGTAAATTATAACAAGTCGTTTTTGAGCAGAATTTACCCTGCTGGAAAGAGAGTGGACTCGAGTAATTACAATCCTCAAGAGATGTGGGACTGTGGTTGCCAAATTGGTAAGAATTTACTTTGAGGAATGTGAATTAGTAGTTAACCACCAGATGTAAGGTGTTAATGCGTGCTTATGTAAAGAAGTTACGAGGTCTGGTAACTTTTCTACCAAACTTGGAAAAATTTAGCAAAGAGACGTATTGATTTCTCATGGTTTTTTTTTTTTTCTTTTTTATCCTTTGTCCTTTTGGCTGCTGTGATTTATTTCTCTTTGGTTTTCTACGACAATCAGTCGAAAAGCACTCCGACATAAGTTTGGCGATAATGTATTCAGTCAAAGTGCCCAACCATAAAGGTTTTACTTTGATTTGTCTTTTTTTTTTCTTTTTTTTTTCAAAGTGGCGTTGAATTACCAGACGCCAGGGCTTATGATGGACCTTAACCAAGGGAAATTTTTGGAGAACGGCAGCTGCGGATATGTCCTGAAACCTGCTGTTATGAGAGAAGGTACAAACTTGTTATTGATTTTGATCATGACTGACCGCTATCCATTACAGCGGTTGTTTACTGTACAATTTCCCGAGCTATGTGAGCGGTTTTATACCATGCCTTTCACTGGATTCAGTGTTTCCCGCGCTTTTTACCAGGTCTTTGTTTTCACGTGCTTTGAACAGCTTAATCAAGGTCACTTGTTTTCCCGCGCTTTTAGGACAGGTCACATGTATCTCGCGCTCTTCATCGGTGCATGACCTTCCGGTTTTTTTTTTTTTTTTTTTTTCAACAGGTTTGTATTATTCCATAATTATTTGCAAACTGAAAATTGCTTGTATATTTTGTTTTTGTAGAAATAGCATATTTCAATCCAAGTACAAAAGACGTTATTCCCGGCGTTTCACCTCAGATATTACAAATTAAGGTGCATAGAAGCATTTTTTTGCGTGTTTAGAGTGTAATTAAAAAATTTCATCTTATTATCCAACTACACTTAGACGAGTACAAATAACGTCATAGACGAGTACAAATATCACGCGGTATTTGTACTTGTCTATTGTAGAGTACCTGTTAAACAGGTTTTCTCGCATCGCGCAAGCGAAGAGTTGAACGAAAAAAAAAAAGTGGCGGACAATTTGAATCCTATTTCCTACGACGAAGAGTCAAAATGGCAGGCAAATATAGATCCAAGTTTATTTGATGAATCGAACGAAGAAAAACAGCTTGACGACCAGAAAATTTCTTCATTTTATAAAGAAAATAGAAACAGCAACGCAACAACACGCCAATTCCGTTCCGCTTCGCGTACTTCTGTCACGCACTCCCCGGAAATAAATATCCGCGAAATTCGCCTGCTGAAACAACAGTTTGGCGTGTTGGATAATAAATAACTTATTAGACGTTTAGTTGTGTAGTATCGCTGAGTATTTTGACTCGTTATTTGTATTTTGACTCGCTCTACGGGCTCGTCAAAATACGGCACAACTCGTAAAAATACTCAGCGATACTACACAACAAAACGTCTAAAAAGATATATGTATTATCGCACTCTGCAAAATGTCAATTCCAGATATTGCAACATGAATTTGAGCTCGTCTTTCCTCTCTGTAGGTAATTAGCGGACAGCAGTTTCCCAAACCAAAAGGTTCGACAGCCAAGGGTGATGTAAGTAAAATGTCCTGCATGTTGTTTCCATGGTGACTTTATTGGTACTAAGGCCAGTTTTTACTCTGCGTAGGTGATCGACCCTTTTGTCACAATTGAAGTGTTTGGTATTCCCGCTGACATTGCACAGGAGAGAACGCGGACTGTTCCTCACAATGGTGGGTGTTTTACCGTCGCTTCCTGTATTTTTTTTACTCGTCAATAACGGAAAACGAAAACTCACACTCTTTACCTGTCACCAGACTTTGAAATCTGAAGATTGCGGAAACTTTTAGATGTTAGACATGCTTTGAATTATCAAATGTTCTCACTCCTTTTATTTATATATTAACGCATCAGTTGTCACCATGCATATTCCAATGAGATAATTCTAATCCCTCACTCTGCTGCGACAAAGGGCTGACGCGATCTTTTTAACTCAATCAGCGTCTTATTAACTTTGTATCATGTGTCTCGGTTTGTATGCTCTTAGGGCGTCAAGTCAACCACCAGAAAAGACTCGACAGAAACCAGTTTTAGTTTCTGACGTACACACTTCTTAGCCCATATTTTTGTAGTCCCTGAGCCTTGAAAGGACAATACACCCAATAATATGGTGGATTGAAATAGCGTCGTAATTGAGAGTCGTCTTTTACCTCGAAACCACTGGACATCAATACGCTATGTTATGTATACCAACAGAGTTTAACAAATGGTAAACACCACAGCGTACACTATTGAGTTATGGATGCACGCGGGAGGTTGCTAAGCACGAAAGAAACGTAAGCGTAAGAGACTCTAGCTTCTTGAGTGCTTAGCAAACCTCCCAAGTGCATCCATAACTCAATAGTGTACGCTGTGGTGTTTACCATTTGTTTTATAACATAACATTGATACATTGTAGCTAAAGAGTTCCCTTTTATTTAACAAATCTTACGCGACCAGAAAAAACAAGCGCGCGCGGAAAAATAGTCTTTGCATTTGCTCACGTCAGCAGCGTACACCCATGGGCAAATGGGGGACGCTAAATTGACCAATCAGAGCGCGCGCTTTACTTTGGTTATGTTATAATAATAAATNAATATTAAGCTGACACTTACGATGGCCATATATGTAGGTTATGGTATATTGGCTGATATACCATAAGGGCTAAGCCAATAAAAAGTCTTGAATTGCATTATCCAATGATCTAGTTTTTAATAATGTCCTTTAGGTAATAGACAACACAAATTAGAGATAGTGGAAGAAGAGATCTTTTCGTCCAATCAACAAATGGATTCCATGTATCTATGGGCCTGTTCGGTAACACAAAATCGATCAGTTTCATATTAGGAAAAGGCAAATTTGTTAATGGTGACATCATCTGTGCTTTTGTTTTCCAATAGATCATAAGGCGGAACCAATCAAAACGCGTGTAAAATTCAGCTTACTGTAGAACTAGGCGTGGACCGCCCTCATCCTCGTCACAAAAAAATTATGAGAAAATAAGTCAAATGAGTATGTTATTTACCTCTTTTTTTTTTCTTTCGGTTAGGTTTTAATCCCGTATTCGACGAAACCTTCGAATTCCACATCAATCTACCTGATCTGGCCTTGGTACGGTTTGTGGTTCAAGATGATGATTTCATTGGTGATGGATTTATCGGCCAGTACACCATACCTCTAAATTGCATCCAACCAGGTAACCTCAAGTGCAAAGACACCTCAGTAACTTGTACAACAATTTTCAATAGAGTGTCCAAAGTCATCCAGGATTGCTCAGGTTTTCTCACCTTTGCTCTTTGATTGGTTCAGAAAACTCACGCTATCCTCTCAACAAATCAGAGGCAAAACTTAAAACAATCGTCGCGTGTGGGTCATTTGCGTTTTACCGCATTTTGAGCCGTTGTCTCTTTTTCACTTTGAAATCTCAGTGGTTGATGAAAATGTTAACCTTTGTTAACAAAGTAAAATCCCAGTAATAATAAAAAGTATGTTGCACGCTATGTTGAAAGTCTCAAGGCTTTTAGACCAAAGAAATTATTGCATGAGTTTTGCTTGGAGATAGCAATCGACATGATTTGAAAAAGATCCATGATTGATGAAGAGAGTTGTATTTATTTTAATAGAAAGTGGAGACTTGTTATGTTAATAAAAGAAAGAAAAAAAAACAACGTTGGAAGATACCCTTTGGAGTAAGGCCAAAAGATGTGTTTATTCTGGTGAATTGATCCACCGTCTCTTGGTGCAGTCCTTATGAGTACTTGTTCCCCTTTGCTCTGATCGATCGCTGGAAATACTTTGGTTTTGTTTTTGAAAACTGCTCTGGCGAGTCTTGCATGAATGATTCCATAACTGCATCATGTCTCCTCTGTCATAATTAAACCTTGCGCAACTGTTAGAATGGTTTGAATGAGGGCAAATTTATGTTGAAATAACAATGAGTGAGGGAAGAAAGAACAGTTGGGTTTCCACCGTGAAACTTTTCTTTTCTCTTGCCGCATTGAAGAAGAGGTGAAGAATAGATGAATGAAGCAATACTATGGCTAATTCCCATTTACCAACTCGTTTCCAGGCTTCCGACACGTGCGGCTTCTTTCATCACAAGGAGAAGAACTGGAATCAGCCACCCTGTTTGTTCACGTGACCATCACAAACCTCAACGACGCTGTGGCAGTAAGTGTTGCTTGATTTGAGTTCCTTTATCAAAACATCAATTCTCCCTACCGATCCCCAAAGCGTGCCTTCGTTAAAAGCTACGAGAGTTGATGTTTTCATCGTGACAAAGATTGAGTCGAGTTATTTGTTTCTCTGAGAACCAAGTAATATTGTAAAGAGATTTATTACACGACCGAAACAAAATTTTAAAATTGAATCTCATTGTTCAGATTGGAAAATGATGAATCTGCGCAAAACATACTTATGTTTTCAGTATTAAAACTAGGCTTGAAAATTTCGTTTCGTGGCCACGAAGATTATCCTACGAGCAGAGCCTTTTCTTCTTTTTAACCCTCTAAGGGAAAAGGCTCTGCCGACATCCTGTTGTTGCTTTGAAATGCCGAAAGCCCAAAACTCCGGGCTAGTCAAGCGGTTTTTCCTCCAGTCAAACCGATTTTGGTGCGCACGCCTTTGTTTTTCATGTACACAGATGACCACATCTGCGCCCACGATAGTTCAAGGGGGCCTGGAAAAGAATCAGTTTCTAGGCAACCGCCGCGCATGTTCAAACGAGCAACAACTGGATGTCGGCAGAGCCTTTTTCCCTTTTCGATCCGAGGACGGGTTCAAAAGGCTCTGCTCGCAGAGTACACAAAGATTTACGTGGACGAGTGGAAGCTAGACTCAGTTGGGTCATAAATTTATCAAAAACAGTGTCTGTGGTAAGGTTTGAGAAAACCCAGCCTATATTTCAAATACTATTTGATAAGGATAAAAGACATCTCGTTGAAGCCATACAGTCAAGAATTGTCGTCTCTACAGCGAAAGACTGTGTCATTATTTACCTTATAATTTACATTTTTTACCTATTTATTTACCTTATTATTTACTAACCGCCTCCCAGTTAGCTCAATCGATAGAGCGTTGGACTGTTGTGCGGGAGGTCGAGGGTTCGAGCCCCGGCCGGACCAACACTCAAGGTCTTAAAATAATTGAGAAGAATATGCTGCCTTTCTATAACATCAAGAAATGGTTAGATATTCTAGTCTTGTCGGATAGGGACGAATAAATGGAGGTCCCGTCTCCTGCAGGGTTAGGTGTAGGAGACGATAATTTCCCACGCACGATATTACTGTGTGACGGATGTCCTCCCCTGGGCTGGAATAGGTGGGTTTACTGGACCCGCAGGAATTGGCGCAAGCTGTTGCGGTGTCCCTGCCTGTCGGCGAAGCTAATAAACTAAACTAACTAAAATTTCGCCTGTCGGAAAATTTGAGCAGAGCTTATGAGGCCTAAGTAACGCCGTTAGTGCCAAATCCCCCGTTAAACCTCTTCCCGACTAATTTCAAATCTTTCCGCGGGCAGAGAACGTGCGTCCTGCTGCGGGTATGCGTGCAGGCTATTATTTGTTCGTTAACTTATTTTTTAGTCTATGAGTCCATTTATTTATTGGTTTATTCAACTGGTTTTTTTATGTTTATGTGGTTATTTGTTTCAGCAGAAACCAAGGAAAGCGTCTTTAAGAAAATCGAAGAAAGCGAGGGAGGTATGTTCTACGATACTTGTACTCATAGTCGTTACAATCTACATCATCTCTCTGTTATCAACTGCGCTTAGGCCCCGGGTGCAAAAGTTTTATTACGTTTCTTCTTTTCAGTATACAAGTATGAAGTCCATCGGGGTAAAAGCCGTGGATGATACGTTTAAGGTGAGATAACAAGACTTTCCTTTGTGTATGTGCTTTGTTTTCTTGATCTTTTGGTATCTGAAACTCTTTTCTATCGTCTACCCTATGCTTGTTGTACATCATAGAAATTGAACTTTGACGGATTTAATTACCCATTGACAAGCTCTAGGTTTAGTTCTTGGTAAATTTATCCGTTGAAATTTTGGAAAACAGCGAAGAAGTGACCAGAGAGTTAGAAACACTGTTTACGAAAAGACGAACCTTTTCTTATATGCCAGCCTCATGGTTTTTTGTTTTATTTTTTTCAAGTTAGCAATTCAGCCCCTTAGAGACGGCACGGATCTCAGAGAAAATGTTCAGACAGCGCTCGGAAACTTCAGGGTAATATATCATTTTATCTCGTTCACTGTTTAAAAGTTAAAAAAAAAAAAAAAACTTTCTCGGGTTCTGGATCTGTTGAGGTTTGTTTGAATTTCCTCCTTGTTTCGAGCGGTGGCCTTCATATAGTGTTGTGTCGCCTCGCAGTGCCTCTCCAAGGATTCAGGAGTGTAAGTGTGTACCGGTGGATAGTCGTGACAGCCAGACAAAAAAAAGAGTGGGGGGAATGAGTGAGCTAGCATCCCGTCTAAAAGGCTGAGTAGCAAATACTAGCAATACTACGAAACCGAGATGAGCTGAGTCGATAGTGAACCACCAATGTCATGTGACTTGTTCTAATCTTAATCTTTTCCTCTTAAGGAAATCTGTGGCGTGGCGCCCCGCTCAAATCTTAAACAGTGCTTAAGGTTGTTGGCTTCCAGACTTGAGGGGAATTCGGAATCTATTGAGCTCAAACTGGTTATGAAGGATGAGGTATTTGGGTTGAAGTTTCGCTACCATGCTCTCTCTTTCCGTATCAGAGATTTACGATTTAGAGTACAATCCATCTTTTTTTTTTTTTAAATCAATTTTAGACATTGTGAAGAAGTGATCCGTAAGATTTTAACATCTCCAGTGAAACTAATGTTTTTTGTTTTGGTGTTTGTTTCTATCTTTCTTATCATACTGTCTTATTATACTAGTGCTATAAATTTCCGATATTACGCAAACACCACAACAAAGCACTTATGAACGATGTAGCTTTGTACATAAAGTGTTATCTTTAGATACTGAGCGACTTAACAAATGGTAAACACCACAGCGTACACTATTGAGTTATGGATGCATGCGGGAGGTTGCTAAGCACGAAAGAAGCGTAAGAGTCGCGCGAGGCGATAGCCGAGAGCGACTCTAGCTTCTTGAGTGCTTAGCAAACCTCCCAAGTGCATCCATAACTCAATAGTGTACGTTGTGGTGTTTACCATTTGTTTTATAACATAACATCGCTACATTGTAGCTCAAGAGTTCCCTTTTATTTAACAAACCTTACGTGACCAGAAAAAAACAAGCGCGCTCGGAAAAAATAGTCTTGCATTTGCTCACGTCAGCAGCGTACACCCATGGGCAAATGGGGGACGCTAAATTGACCAATCAGAGCGCGCGCTTTACTTTGGTTATGTTATAATGTTATTTGTAGCTCTCCTAAGTAACCCCTTTGACCTAGAAGAGTGACTCGCATCTAATTTCTCCTTCTATTTCTCCTACCAAACCAAACCAAACATAAAAATCACGGGAAAAAAATTAAATGATAGCTATGTGAAATTTCTGTTTCTTTTTTCCTTTTTGCAGTATCCTTACTTCGAAGCTCAGGGGAGCTTGCCAGAGATGTTGAAGAAGGCTCTGACAGCTATAGAACAGGTAATATTGACTGGCAAAATAATTTTTCTCAACGGCTACCTTGTTTTTCAGTTGAGCACTTGTGAGAATTTCTCTACATAATCATCCCTTCCGTCCTTAATTGCGTCCTAACACTTTGCTTAACGTTTGGAGTTATTTGACACTTGAGTTGTTTGTGACAACTCAATTACATTCCATTTTTCAGGTCGTTCAAGACTCCAAAACGTTAATCGAATCTTGTGACTCCGTTCACGAAAGAGTAAGTCGTGTTGCTGTTAGCTATTCTAACCAACATTTACGTGAAATGAATTCCGCAGGCATTTTTCAGACAAGATGTATTTTTACAGAAAAAGGTGTCTCAGAAGCTGTCGAAGTGATGGTTTGCAGGAAAAACTTACTTCTCTATCGTAGTTCATAGAGAGTTGTTCGAGTTCAAACAAAATTTCTTTGGCTCTATACTACATTTCGTTGATTTTCCATGAAACCAATCAGATTCAAAGCTGAACAAATCATATCATGGTTTCCCACACTTTTCCGCACTTTTAGTCACTAAAGGACGGTATACTTATTTACTTGAGTCCTTATTGGCTCCATTTGACGTCCATCGTCTTCTGGTGGGCGGATGAGGTTAAGTTGAGTTTGGTTTCACGATCCTCGATCGAAAAGCACCGCTCTATCCATCTCTATCGGTTTAAAATTGCAGAGTATTTGTAGATATTTATCGTTCCAAATGCTGTTCTCTTTGTTGTAGATTATTCAATGCGAGAGAGCGGGCCTGGAGTGGCACGTGCGTAGATCAATTCTGTTTATCTACTTATAGTTTATGAAAGGATAGAAGACTCTCAAGTATTAATGAAATACTGGGATTTTTTCTGCACCGTGGAAAAAGCTTCTTTACATCTTGTACTGAAAAAAAAATTTTTAGTTCTCGATGTCGCTGTGGTTTTTGGCAACAATAACGTCGCGTTTTGATTTCTAGGAAGATATTATCACTTAGATTCTCAACAAAATATCTCATTCCTGATTGGTTTATAACGAGTACAAAAACTACTTGAAGAGTGCCGTACACGATTCTTTTTTTTGGGGGGGGGGCGTGGGGGGTAGGGAAAGGAAACCTTAGTCCTCATTTCCATTTGATATCGCAGCCTTCACGTGTCAGACTTGGTGTCGAGTCGTGTAGCTTTGAAACATTAAATCGCACATTTTATGGAAAAAAATTATCTATTTCAGGAAGAGCTTCATAATGCCTGTGTAAAAGAGGGAATAAAAGGGAAGCGATTGACAAAGGTATTTGGTCTTCTCGTTGCAATAAATTTGTCAGCTAAAAAACTAGCGTTTGTATGTAGGTGGCCTTCATCGATTGGTCCAACGATTTTCCGGTGATCAACAGGAATAAAAACTGAATTATTGATGTTGAATGTTACAATAAACAGTCAAAATTTTCAGTTAAAACTCTTTTCTGATCTAGGGAGTGAATTTGTTGCCGAGAAACAAGAGTAAAAATAATGGTGATAATGATAAACACTTCGTTGTTCTCGACAAATTTCAAGAGAAAGGAAATCTTTTTGTAGGATTTTGACCTCGTAGCTGGGTTAGCCATTAGGGTCACGGGATGGACTATTCACATCCGGGCCTTTTCTCATGCAGGCGGTAGAAAGCTACTCGTGGAATATCCGGGTCTTAAAGGGCCAGGCAGATTTACTTCTCAACGCAAAGAGTGAGTGCCAGGAATATCTCCGACAGGTAACTTTATTTGTTTCACGACAAACCTGATATGTATCCTTTACGGTGCAGAAGGGTTCGATGGAAAGTTATGGCTGGTTTGTATTAAAATGAAAAAAATGTTCAGACAGCTTAAACTTCTTACTATGTCACGTGGGTTCTCACTTTTTAAATTAATAATTTCTTGGACTAAGAATGGAAGAATCTCAATGCATGTTTTCAAAGAAAACTGTAAACGAAGCCACGACAAGAGTCATCGACATCAAGTCAACCATTTGAGACTAACTGGTTTCCCCCATCTTAGCTGATGTGCAAGAACAGGAGCGCGCGGGGAGGCGGGGTTTTTTTCGGGGTGAGGGTTTGGATGAGGTTGCAAGCCGTTATGTTTACATAGGCATGCAACGTGTGCGATAAATATTTGCAAAATAAAAGCTATGTAACGGTTTACGAAAACCTGGATTTTGAGATGTGTAGGGTGAAACATTCATTGCCATGAAAGCCGCCAAAAGTTAACATTGTAGCTTGATTCAAGGGCAACACAGAAATAGGCCAAATAAATGTTTTTGTTTTGCGTCTTTTTTTTTTTTCAGATTCAGGAGGCGACTCTATCAACTGGTCTTGTCAAATCCGTTGGCTGTGACCTCTAACTGAATACTTCAATTACTCGTCACATTTCTCCTCACTAAATACGTACTAGCATTGTAAATACGAAAGCAAACAGTGTACTTATGAACATAATGGAGTGGTTTTTCCTTCAGATGTGAACTTGTTTTTCATCCTGACTAGATTTTTTTCACGTACTACTAATCACAGAGGTTTCTTTCATTTTTTTTCCCTCTCAAATATGTTTTTTAAGTGTCATGCTTAGTCTTTATAGTTTCAATATAAATACTGTCAGAAATATGTTTTCCCCATATTCTTACGTTAGCCACTATGTACACAATCGCAGTCTGTATTTTTAATTTTTCCGTGTTTTCCATGGATTCAAGAGAATACGAATGATTTCCGGAAAGCGCCGATAATTTTCCAGCATTAATCGAAGTTCACGCATTTCTCAGAGAAGATGGAAATTGAAATACAACAATGTTTCATTACGAAGATGGAGGAAGCGATTTTAAGTAGAAAATCGTAATATAAATTCAAGAGGAATATTTAATTAAGGCAATGCAGAAAATAACGATTTTTTAGATAACACGTGGAAGTAAAAGTGGTTGGAATGATAACCTAGCCCTTGAATTAGTTTTAGTTCTGTCTGGCATTAAGTCACAGTAATAGATTTTTTTTTCCATGGTAGATCTCGCGTCATAGTTTACCACGTGATATGTTTTAACCAATTGTATTTCGTGACATGGTGTTGCCTATCGTGATAGTTACATTTTCTAATTATTGGTGTTTTCGGATTTATTACTTCTTGATGTTGAATTTTGGTTCGTAGGTAGGAATCATTCCGCGAGCCTTTGCAGATTTCTTGGAAAAAGTATTTTTTTAGCTTAACATTTTTTGAGTGTGGGAATAGTAGAGTGAAACGGGACATCTGTTACGATCCTATATTGAAAAAAATAATATAAAATTTATACTGTTGAGATCATCATTATTATTAGTAACATTGTTATTAGTAGTATCGTCATTATCTCTCATCTAGATTGCGTAGCAGGTTATCTCCTTTTCCAGGTTCCCCCACGCTCCAGGGGAGCTGGAATCTGGAAACGAGACTGCGCCGTAGGCAATCAGTGTCGATACGAGTAACATGCACGCGAAAGATCAGACTTAAATCGGGCGCGTGCAAATTTGTTTCTTTTTCCTTTGAAATTTAAAGGTCTTCTAATACACGAGACTTTTCATGGCTCATTTTTACGAATTTGTTTTAATTAACTAAAAAAGTGTTCGTAATTGGAGGCATTTGGGTGAAACACTGCATCTAAACAAAGAAGTCCTCTTTAGCAGATTCGTTCACTGCCGTGTCTTAAAGTACGTCCTCGTTATGGTTCATGTCTTTATTTATTTGACACGGTGTACATATCCGAGATGAGTGAAGCATATTTGTAAGTAGTTTAAGCTATGATAAAGCTTACTCGAGGTGGTCAGATCGACTTGAAATAAAATTTTCATTTATCTAGAATGACCCTTGTTAAGTTACTTATTACACCACAAGTGTGTGTTAGAGAATCTGGAATAAAAGTCGTGTTAAGAAAATACATTACGAGAATTTCATTTCAAATACAATCCCAGAATTATCGCGACTTCAAAAAAACTCCATTCACAGTTTCGCAAATTTTCGGCTCACTTGGTCAATTTATCAAAAGGTGTTACAAAGATTCGGCACAATAAACAAACTCCTTTCTCAATCTTTACCACTTAAGAATTTTCTCTTTGGAATACCAACCTGATGCACGATTCTTTGAAAAAAAAAAAAAAAATTAATGTTTCAATCCCTGAGAGTGACCAACATCTTATTTCTCCTTACAATATCAACCCAAATGACACACAAAGGTCACGAGGTTAAAGGAAATGGTCACTAGAACCTCTTGACTGCAAAAGAAACTCTCTCCGTCAGCGTTTAAGGAAATGTATGGAAAACAGTATGATGAAAGTGCCTGCCGATGTTGGGTGTAAAAGGGCTAAGTTACCATATCTACTCCAGGAAACTCCAGAATGACTCATAGTTACTTCCAAACTTTGTCAAAGTCAGTTATAAATACAAAATTATAACATAACCAAAGTAAAGCGCGCGCTCTGATTGGTCAATTTAGCGTCCCCCATTTGCCCATGGGTGTACGCTGCTGACGTGAGCAAATGCAAAGACTATTTTTCCGCGCGCGCTTGTTTTTTCTGGTCGCGTAAGATTTGTTAAATAAAAGGGAACTCTTTAGCTACAATGTATCAATGTTATGTTATAAAACAAATGGTAAACACCACAGCGTACACTATTGAGTTATGGATGCACTTGGGAGGTTTGCTAAGCACTCAAGAAGCTAGAGTCGCTCTCGGCTATCGCCTCGAGCGACTCTTACGCTTCTTTCGTGCTTAGCAACCTCCCGCGTGCATCCATAACTCAATAGTGTACGCTGTGGTGTTTACCATTTGTTAATTAATTGCCAAAAAAGTTGTTACAACAATCAGACTTTTGTTCACCTCAGGCGAGTAGAGAGTGGTGTCATTTACTGGTAAGACGTAATGATCTGATTCCAAGTTATCAATCAAGGTGTTAGAGTTTGACTCATCAGATACTTTCGTTAGAGGGAGGTTACAGCTCACCACAGGCCATAAATATCATTGATCCCGAACTGTGCTGGACGTTCAATCGAGAGGTCAATGAGCAGTACCCCGATTAACGTCATTGTATCATTTTACTGAAAAGCAAAACAAAACAAGAGAATACGCTGTTGGGGGGTTTTACCAACTCGCTTGGACGAATTAACGAGAGGTACCAAGACTCTGTAATTTTCTTCTTTATTTCTACTCTTCTATTGTTGCTACTACCTTCTATTACCGCCGCTATTTCTCTTCCATCTTTTAGCAAGGAGTGCCCACGTATTAAATGCAAAAATCACAGACATGTTTGGGTTAGCTGACCGTGGGAGTTTCCATAGTGCATTCGTTGTTTTGCAAAAGGGGGAAATTGGGNAAATTTTTTTCAGGTCTGATTTTCACTATTGCTCAAATAGTGCTTTACTGCGAAGGATCGTTCTCATATACGTCTCATAACCGCAGTTCACACATATGTTTCATATGTTTGTTGTTGTTTGATTTATCATCCACGGGTTTATATCGAATTAATTTGATGGCCTGCTCCCAGTTGGCTTGTTAGCTCAATTGGTAGAGCGCTGCACTAGTATCGCAGAGGTCAGTGGTTCGAATCCCGTACAGGCCTGAAATTTTTTTCAGGTCTGATTTTCACTATTGCTCAAATAGTGCTTTACTGCGAAGGATCGTTCTCATCTACGTCTCATAACCGCAGTTCACACATATGTTTCATATGTTTGTTGTTGTACTTATTTTAGTTTCAAAATCTCAAAACCTCTTCGCTCCAGGTACAGAAAATTCAATATTCGTTCCAGCCATGATTGTACATGTAAATTGTACTGTACATTCAATATCCGTAGCAGCCATGATTGTACAAGTACATGTTTATAATCTTTGTAAAAATTCTCAAAATTAATGAATGACTTTACTAGGGAAAGCGTGAAGCATCCTGACAGCTGGTGACATAATGGGTTGAAAGTATACAAAAAAACACCATGTTCATCGTTTGCTCATTGGAAATATCATTTTCAGCCACAAAGATAGTATGTAAGGTAAGAGAAGTTGTATCAGTGTCCTGTAGTGCGCATGCAACAATTGGTTATGCCGCTGGGGGCGGGGCTGTTGGTTCCAAATTCCACATGCCTTGCTTGAAATGAAAATGGTGATAGAGGCCTGGATACTTGAAGCGCTCCACCTCTAACTTGGATTTAACAACACGATCCAGAAATTCCCAGTCCTCGCCGCCCCACTTATATTTGAACTTCTCGACGTCCATTCCTGAGGAACAGAGGACAGAAGAATGTGGAGCGGTTACATAGGGATTTGACAGATGGGATTTAGTGAGAGCGTTGAAGATAGCTTTCGAAAACTGTACTGGAAACAACCATACATTTTCGCCTTTAATCATTTTCCCATTAAGATTTGACTTACCACCAATTCGATTCCAGTCAGACTTGTATATGGCGAACAGGCCAAAACCGTCGTCCGCCCAGACACCTTGATGATCCACAGAACTTTTCCCACAATCCAGCCGACCAACAACAGGATAAAAGGCAACCCGCCCCTCTATGGTATTCTAAAAGATCAAAAAGAAGTAAATATGATGAATACGAGGTTAAGGTTCTTTATAAAACAAAACGCGGGGAAGCGTTAACATGAAATGCAATGGTCGTTAACCACAGTCAGTCTATAGTTTTTGGAAAACAAAAAGAGCACAGAACCTCCTAAAACCAAATAGGGTGAATGCGTAAAAGGGTAACAAGACCCTCAAAAATGCGTGACACGGTAGACCTTCCGGAGAAAGCGTGATATGACATCAACGCACCGCAAGCATAACGAAGACCGGGACTAAATGGAAATCTTGCCTAAGATACTGTTGGTCACCTATCTTAGAAATCACAGCAATTTACCTTTCTCACGCTATCAATGATGTCCACAGGTACGTCAATATGGAGATCAAACAGGAACACCAAGTCATACTCACTTGGTACATGCGCGACGCCCTCGTTCAGCGCGAGGGTCTTGTAAAATTTCCCCTTCATTTTAACAAGGGTGTGTCTATCACGGAGGAGGGAAGTGTTAAAAGCTTTCTCCAGGTCAATATCTCGACTTTCGAAGTCAACGACCACGACGTGAAAGTTTTCATCTTTCGTTAATGAACTAGCTATTGAAAGTTCGTTGATAAAATGATAAACCCATTTTCCTTGATTTCTGACAGGGAGTATAAAATACACTGTGGCGTTACTTTTCCAATTCATCCCTTCTTGAAAACACAACTGGCCGCTCCCTGTTTTAATGAAGACGTGTTCTGACAGACGAAACGAAGTCTTGCTGCGTTCCAAACCAACTTCTACATCGAGAGAAAAGCGATCACCATACACTGGATCTGGCTTATGGATGACTTTGTGGATCCTCTGTAGAAAATACTCCCTGAAAAAGAAATGAAAACACAGTTTAAATCAATCAATCAACAATAATCAATCAATAGATTATTCAATCCATAAATCAATGAATGAGTTTGTCAGTAAATATGGGTTATAAACCAAGCGTGAGGTCAAGATGGCTGGACATTGGCCGAGTTGTTTTTTTACATTTTTAAGGACTGAGACGAAGTCGAAGTCCATAAAAAATGCGAAAAAAAGACGAGGCTAATATCTCGCCATCTTGACCGAAAAAGCTCGGTTAATAAAGGAGTTATTATATTGCAAAAAGATTTCGCTTTAATAAGAATCAAGAGTGACTTGTTTACTTGGAGAGCTGGAAAGAAAGCCAACTGTGTTTGTAACTCAACAAACTCACGAGAGTCGTTTCTGTTTTCTTTGTTTTGACTGTCTTCTGCAACTTCTTGCGTTTCCATCGCCGAAATTGTCCAAGAATTACGAACGCAGTTCTAATTGTATTTTTTTTTCACGCGTGGGATCAATGCGGGCAATCCCGAGAGGGCAAGATGGGCCTATCTTGCCCGCTCGTGTAGCCAATCAGAACACAGGATTCGCTTCCTCTTGCCCACGGGCGCTGCGAGCGATGTAATGATTAGTTCTTATTAACCGAGCGGGAGGTCTGTATGGGAGAACCTTGACCGAGGTCGCCAGTACAGGCCGAACGCAGTAAGGTCAGTACCAGCGACCGAGGTCAAGATTCTCCCATACAGACCGACCTAGCTCGGTTATTAAGATGTTTATTATATGGCTGTGTCTAGAGAGCAACGGAACATTATATTCTTTGTACCTTTTTTTTCTAGACTGGTCTAGATGTACAGAGTACAGAACGAGTACAGAACGCTGCGGCTAGGCTGCTCACGTCAAGTAGAAAGTACGATCATATTACCCCCGTTTCACTTACTGATTTGCATTGGCTATCCGTAAGATACAGAATTAATTTTAGACTCTTATTGCTCACTTTTAAAATTCTTCATGGAATGGCACCAGCCTACTTAGCGGACTTAATCTATGTAGAAAAAGAACACACGCTATTCCTTGCGTTCCAACGATGGTATTTGTTTAGAGTATCCTTCA